ATCATTTCCGGTCCGGGATCATTTGCGGTCCAATTTGGGGATCATTTGCGGTCCGGGATCATTTGCGGTCCTGGGATCATTTGCGGACCCGTACAGTTCCTTGGCCCTTCGTTATATCGGGAGATTCCACTATATCTTGCTATTTTGAAAAGTATCATGGCTTCAAACATATATGGCGCTCCTATGTCAAAGAATTTTCATAAAATTTGATTTCTAGCTAGAAAAAGTTTTCTCTGACATATGCATGTGAGAAATCATTACGTGGATTAGAGGGAAACTGGGCAGTTTATTTCGAATGGAACAATAAATGGAAAGATCAGTTTTGTCTCCCCGAACAGACATTTTCTCGGGAAAAGGGGATTTCTTGAACGGGTAGACCAAAATTCCCAAATGGACTTTCCGAATGGAAAATGTGCGTTCTATTTGTTAGTTTTACTAGTTCCTGGTCTTTTGGCTTGGATCGCCTTTGCTCCTATCTTCCTGGAAAAAGTCGTGAAAATGGAACAAGCGCATCCTCGTGGAAATTTCCATTCGGAATTTGACACGTCCCATTTACTACAACTGTCGACCAACCGGTTTTTCCGAGGAAATGGTAAACAACCATAAACATCCAAAAAAAGCGGGCCAACTTTAGTGACCTCTAATCTTGTCATGTTTTCTGCTTAAATTACAAACCTTACCTTGGTTTGTTCACATGATCTTAGCAGAATATTTTATTATGCGTACATGTGAACATTTCTTAGGAGCTGCTTCGGTAAGTTTTATTAAAATTATAGAATTATTTTATTACAACTTCAAATTATTAGAATCGTAGAATTGTAGAATTATCATATTGTTCCTGTGCATATTTCTGTTTTTAGTGTAAACACGATCCCGCAAGCAAATCTATTGCTTTAAACCGAATCGTGTGGAAGTAAAGGATTGTTGATTGTTTTTGTTCTGTATGCACTTCTAAATTATTCTGTTTTTGTGTGTGCTTTTAATGGAGATAGTTTAGTTTGAAAGCTTCACGTGCTTCAAAATTGGAAAATGACCACATAAAGTCGGTTTTAGAACTTTCGGGAACTTTAGATTCTAATATCACTTGCAACATCCCGGGA